AATTTAAGTACGAAGGCTTTCACGGCCGGTGTGAATTAAACTAAGATTAGAACTAAAACTAGAACTAACACTAGAAACTTTCGGGTTTTGCCGTGCGTCTTTTAATAAAAGGTTTGACGTTTCGGATGCCATGTTGCAACCTTCTTCAGAAACTGGTTCGAAGTCACTTCGAACACTTCGTCACTTATATCTATAAACAAGGGTGGGAATCTTGACGGAAAATATTCATTTTTACGCTACCTTTTTGTAATTTTAGCAAATTACAACCTATTCCTTTATAACTAAAAATTCTGAAAAAATTTATTTGAAAAATATTACTATTTTCAAGTATACTATCATGCAAGCTAAAAAAGAACGACCAAATTCTATAATACTGAGGAAAAAACCCCCTTTTTTTGGAAAATTTTAAAATTTTTCACCATGCGTTATGTAGAATTGTTAGAAGAAGCTATGTACAAAATTTCATCCAAATATTTTCATAAATAATGTATGTTTTTTGTAATTTGCTGAGCTGTATGGTAAAGTAGCCTCTTAAGAATATTCCTTTCAAATTGGGTTTAACCCTCTTCGTAATCAAATATAAATTGGAAATAAAAAAAATCTTTGATTAATACAAAATCATGACATAATATAATACATAACACAAACATAATATTCCAAAAAGTAAAGGATGTTATACAGGATGATTCACATAAAAACCGACACAGAGCAGGGACATATAAAGGACAATAAATTAAGATGATTTAAAGTAATTTACCTTTAAAGTTGTACACCTGAAACATTGTCGCTCTACATGTCCCTGCTCTGTGTCGGTTCTTATGTGAATCACCCTGTATAAAAACAAATAAATTTTTAAATTAATTTCCATTAACTCCTTCACGCCCAGTGACGCCAACGGTGGCGTTCTAGTAATGTACGCCTATGGTGGCGTATTTTAATATAAGATAGTAGTATTGGTGTGACATTGAGATTTTTAAGGCTGGAAAGTTCAAGTTAAGGCTCAAGTTGGTGTTGCAGAGATTATTTTCAATTTAATTCTGGGCGTGAAGGGATTAACAAACGCTTCAGGCAACAAAAATAATAATTCTTTCGTGAGCGACCATGAAATAACTATTATTTCCAGAAAGTCACACTTTCCGTGGAAGATAGATGTAGCAAAATATACTGAAACCATTTATAAAACTGGCCTTTAATCCACAGCCATAATCCTACTAATACCTTAAATATTGAAACTGGTTTTGTTAAAGAAACACAGACTAATTTTGTAATTTTATATTACTTAAATCATTGTGATGAGCAAGTGAATTACAATACGAAAATCAATCGTTACAACGAAGTTTAGAATGTAAATCAACAAAATTACACTCTGATTGTGAAATAGTTTATATTAAGTTAGATCGACCGGCTACAAACTGAAATAAGTAAAAAGAAACTTGCAATAAAAATAAAAATACACGGTGAATCCTATAGTAAAAATTTTATTAATATGAACAAAAAATATTACATAGCAGTACAGCTTGATAAATGCACAAAGAGAGAAAATAAAGAAATAAAACGGCGATCTATGGTAATAATAATAGTAGTAGATATTAATGATAAGTATTTTTTGTTTAATTTGTTGTAATTGTAAATTGTTTTGGGGGGAAGGGCTAAAATAATCAGCGTGAGGCTCTTAAGCTGTACACAGAGGTGGGTCCTCGGCCCTCGCCGCCGGTCAAAGCAGGTGGCAGGCCTGAGCGGCACACGCGTCAACGCTCAGCGGGCACGTGGTTACCGTGGACAGGGGGGTCGACGATGTTCCGGGGCTCGAGGGCTAGAAACAGCTGCCCTCAGGCGGCTGTGTTAGTTTCATGTTCTCTTTGAGCGTCATTAACCTTCTCAGCTCTTGTAGGACAGTCTTGATGGTGTAATCCCTTTGCCATCTCAGCAACACCGGTACTTGTCTATTGTCCACCTACAATACAATTTCATTTTTAATATTTCGCTCATAAAAAGAATAGTCAAAATAAATTACTATAAATCAGAAACAATTTCTTTCTAAAATTGAAAAAACACCTCAATTATGATTTTTTAAATAAACTTTTAAGAAAAATGTCCAGGAAATTCTTCTTATGTCTTGAAAATTCTACACGACACACCTCAATTCAAGTCAATTTCCAGTGTGCCACGTAGATTGTTCATGCGCCCCAAACAGACAACGTGATAGGGGAGAAAAAATTTTCTTTTCGTATTTAGTACAAGAGAAGTTCGCAAATATTTTATATAAAGAGCTTAAGCCAAATTAGATTTTTGTGTGTTTTAGCATTTCTAATAAATTCTCTTTCAGATTTATAACTTCCATTGACATTATTTACTTGACAACAAAATCATGGATACCTATTTACGATACAATAATAAATAGTTCTTTCTAAGGTAGATAAATATAAGGTATGCTCGCACGGTGAACGAATTGGCTCTCGCACGTCGTAGCCATTGTAAACAAACCTACACTTACAATAATACTAAACAACAGAGAGCTGTTTTCATTCGTCTAGATGAAACATTTACAGAAAAACGAATGATGAATTAACACTGAGACATCAAGAGCGCGCTGCAATGTAACACACGATTCGCACAATATGCTGCAGTGTTGTTCTACATCATCAAGAAGCATCTCTCTCAACTCTAACGAAAAGCAGCGAATCCTTAAAAATATTCGCGAATCATTTAAAATGCTTCATTGCCTCACTTACACTGTAGTGCTTTTGTATACAATCGTCGTTACTTTAATACCGAGCATAAATAAAGTAATGTTAAGTTGAATTTAAGGCACAATTTAAAATTATCCAAAGTTATCTAAATTTGGCTAAACTTATACAAAATTGTCATCAAAATTTTACAAAATAGTTCAAAATGTTTAAAATGTTAGTCAATTATGCAAACTTGTTCCAAAGCGCAAAATTTGTCTAAAATTGTTTAAATTTGTCTAAACTTGTTCAAAACCATCTAAAATGTGGCTAAAATTATCAATACTTCGCCAAACTTGTCTAAATAAATGTTACTAAAATTATGTATAACTAAATACCGTATTTTCTCGAATGTAATCCGCACCTTTTTTACAAATTTGATATGCTCTGAAATCAAATGCGGATTACAATCGGGTGCGGATTAGATTTGCAGTCGTACAGTTGCAATTTGGAAAATAGTATAATAAAATCACATTATAACAATAACAGTTTATTAAGGGTTTTAGAACGATATTTACATTTTAATGTATCATTTTCTTCCCATATTACGTCATCTTTGGATCAATACGGATCAATTCGGATTATACAAAATTAAGCTCTTCTTAAATGATGTTATAATATTGTTTTCAGGGATCGTTTTCCATATCGCCTACACTGACTGAGCAAGTTCAGAAGCTCGTTTAATTGCTCCCAATTTTGTTAATTCTCGAGTTTGTTAATATACATACACAGGTTGTAGTATGGATGTTATTCCACCAGGTATTATTATTATGACAAGAAATCTAAACCAAGGGCAATCAGTCTATGATTAAGTAATATTCTTATTTAATAATCCTCCTGTTCTACGACTCCATACTTGTCTTAACCATTCCATCATCAGCTTTTCCATTACCCATCCTTTTTGTTGTGCCCTAACTATGACGTCATTCGGGAAGTCTTCCAGATTTCAGAATGGTTTTTTTCTCAATATTCATAATGACAGCAATTTTTCCCTACCACTTGTTACTGCTAGCATCAACGTTATGCGCAATTTTTCGCAACCACTCGTTTATAAAGAAATTTCCTACACACCTCTTCTTTCCAGTGTGTAATTGGGTGGCATATCCAGACATACTGCCATTTCGTCGGCATTCACAGTTTGAGACAAATTGAAATTTTCTTGAAAATCATTAGGAGCTTTTGGGAAACTGTAGTTCTGCGCCTCTACGATAACACCATTCGGCGCATATATCCCACAGTCCAACCTTTGCTAGTATTAAAAATTTTGTAGTCCCTCCCTTCGTTTTTCTTGAGAGAAACAGAAAACTGCCTCGTCAATTTCGTGAAATCGTCTCTTCTTTGGTCCGGTAAATTTTTTGCACGATGCCTCACAGTCTGCAATAGCTGCCTTGTCTTTCCGCAACAGCCGCAACGTTACTCTCATTAACAGCAAAAATTGTACCAGCTTTTCGATTTACTTAACGCTAACTTAATAACATCTCTTTAAACTTCGCTGTATAGAAGAACCTCTTCGATTTTTGCTACTTTTTTTTATAATTACGCTATTATATGTATAATTAAACACGCACCACATTCGAGCTACTACGAGGGCAGTATATAAACTGAATTCGTACTATTTATTTGTAAAATTATATTCATTTTCCAATTTTTTCTGGCTTGGTAAATTTAAAGTCTAGTCTAATAAAAATTCGTCGTAAGCAAGGTTTCTTTAGGTGCATCAGCGTCAGTCAACGGAAAAAATATATATTTATGGTTAATAACAAGCATCGCATAGTTTTGGTGTTATCGAATTGCTCAAAGAAAGATGCGGATTACATTTGCAAACTAAATTTTTTTACCACTATGCATTTTTAAAATCGGGGTGCGGATAAGATTCGAGAAAATACGGTATAGTTAGTTATAACTAATTAATGTTAAACTTGTCTAAACTTGTTCAAAACTGAAAAATTTTATAAAGTTGCCTAAAATGATCAAATGGAATTTAAAATTATTTAAACTTGGCTAAAAACGCACAAAAATATCTGAGATTGTCAAAATGTGTCAAAAATATCTAAATTCCCTTGAATAATGCTTCTTAATCCTTATTTTCCAATGTGATGATGTATCGAAAACGACTACTAATAAAAAAAAATTAAAACATAAAAATCTTACAATGTAGAAGATATGAAAGATAATAAAAGCTTAAACTAACACTAGCTCTATCACTAGAACTAACACTAGACCTAGAAACTTTCGAGTTAAGCCATGCGTCTTTTGGATCTTCTGGAAAAGACCAGAAGTTGAAGAAGCGTTGGACAAATGGTTTTCCGCTGTTAAGGACGAGGTGTAAATGTTACTGGTGCACTATTAAAAAAGAAATCAGAAGAGATTGCGAAAAAAGCCAGAACTCAAAAAGTTTAAAGCAACAATTTAATGAAAAAATCTTAGTAGGCTTTGCAATTTTTTTCAGAAATATTTTTGACATTTAAATGTCAGTGTTTTTCTTATTATTATTATTGTTTTATTTAAAATTTTGAAACGTTGAGTGAACGAGCGTATATGCGATAGAATTTTATTCAAAAACTAATTTGAAAAACAAAAATNTTTCAAAAATTATAAGCGATGGTGAAAATTTTTTCAAGTAAAAGTTATGTGAAATTATACTATCAACCCAACTGAAGAAAAAAAAATTGTAGATTTAAAAAAATAGCGAAATTACTACTCACATCCGGTGTAACCGGAAGTACAAAAAGCATGATTTCATGTCGTAATAATCCGTTTTAGCGACCTAACTATGCATTCCAAATGGTTTTCTTATATCACCAATAATAAAGAAAAATATGGGGGTGAGCCACTTTTGAGGGACACCCGGTATATATATCCACACTGACATTTAAACGTCAAAAATATTCCTGACAAAGATTCTAAAGCCTACTAAGAATTTTTCATTAAAAATTTATTCCAACTTTCGATTAACAACCCTACAACTTAACAACTTGCTTAATTTTTTTTCTCAGAAATTATTAAATTTTCGAAGAACATCAGAGGGGCAAAGAAGTTGTAGAATATTTTCATCTATCGAAATCAAATTTTTCCAATGAATTTATCATAAAAAACATCTAGGCAAAAATTTAACGGGGGTGGTTATTTTTAAAGCCATTTACTGCCATTATTAAAGGGGCGTAGCCTTAAAATTTGCTAAAGAATCCTGAAGTTTGGGAACGTCATTGAGATACAGCCTGTATACGAAAAAACATGTTACCTTTGATAAAAATTATTAGTAGCTAGCGTTTTTTGTTTTCGAGTTATTTTGATTAAAAGTTTTTTTTTGCAAATTTCAACATGCTTTTTAAAACAACATTTTCATTCGTAGTTTTTCCACATTCAATGGCCAAAAAGTCGAAAATTTTGAATGGAACACCCCATATTTTATTAGTATACCAAGAAGCAATTTAATTCTCTACAAATCATCTATAAAGATTCCTATACCTGTTTGTTGTAGTTTCCCTCATACTGGGAAATTTATCAAAACACGCACGAAATGCTAGAACCGCTTGTTTTTATTAGAAGACCTTTGAGTTTTTCGTTTAATTTGTTTTTACAATTAACTACGATTTATAATCCTTTAGTTTAATAGCTTTTATTTACCAAAAATAACAAACAGAAGAACAAATAAATAAAACAACGAAAACAAAAATTAGATTTGGATAAAAAAATATAAATTTTAAATATAACTTTTTTTATTAAATTTCAATTCGAAATGCAATAAAATATGATACAATATTTATTTTGTTGTCTTCGTGGCTGGTGATCGGAAATGTACGTTTTTCTTTTGGTCTCAAAGTGTCCACAACTAAGAAATTCTTTTTCAATTTTTCGGGATTTTTTCTTTGTGATGGTCGTGTTGTTTTAGATATCTCTCATTAAATGTTCGACACGTCCTGTCCAAAAGTTTATTACGTTTGCGATGTATTCAGGGTGGTCTGTTACTAATAGGACACAGAACAATAGTCCTATTAGCTACAGATGGTTAAAGTTAATACTTTATTTTAATTTTTCTTTAACAATTTCGCTTTTGCTTAAGTTACGAACATGAAAATTGGTACATTATCATTTTTTAAGACGATAAATAATAATTTGGTATTAGTTTTGATTTATCTTTCAGATGGCGCTGCCTACCTCCCTTAAAAAAAGTCCCTTAAAGTAGTCATATCTTTTTCATCGTTAAAATTTGTATAACTCACACAAC